TTAGTTGTTTTGATACTCAAATGTTACCTTTTCTAGCACATGCTTAAAAGTAGGTCCGTAAACTATCATATATATTAACACTTAATAATATATAAAATTCCATAAAATATCATTTCCATAAAATTCATAAATTCTAAATAATTCAAAAGCAAATAAACATCACTTAGTCTTAAAATAACATAGATGTATTGGTCCAATATTGGTCTAATAGCACCAAAATCTAACAGCAACTATAAGTGCATAAGTCAAGCAAGCATGATTAATATTAATAATAATGTTTAATTATAATAATAATAATAATTTAATGTGTGATTGGAAACTGGAAGGAAGGTGCAAAAGATCTTTGTGTACGTTACAATTTACAAAGTTATAGCAACTTTAAAATTTATAAATAATAATAATATAATAATAATAATAATAATTAATTATGCCACGTCAACGGGTTAGGTCAACGGGTTCATGGGTTTAGAAACTAAAACCTAATACCCGAACCAAATCTATACAGGTTGTTACGGGTTGGGTCGGGTATACCCGTAAATGAATGGGTCCAGATAATTAATGGGTTAGTTCGGTTTGGGTAGGCGGGTTTGCGGGTCGACCCGCACCCATGAACACCCCTACTTTTGGGTACTTATCCCATTTAATTTTAAGTTGTTAATGATATACACTTGTACGTAGTCTCGAAAAGTATAAGTTTTATTTGCAATTATTATCAAATAAATTATTTAAAAATACTTTCAAATTTATATCTACATTGTCAAACATTAATTATATTACGCACAAAAACATTTCAAATGCTTATTACTTGATTAACGTAATATTTAAAAAATAATAATTTATTATAAATGGTACTGTAAAATATTTATTTTATTTTATTTTTATTGATATTAGTTGAAATATAAAAATCATTTAGAAAATACTATCATTATTTTTAATACTCGCTATGAGTATTACTATAAAAAAATTGAGCAAACTTTAAACATCATTATTTTTATTATGTGAAAAATAAAAAAATTTACTATTTGTCTTTAATTTTTGTTTGACATAATATGAAAACATAGAATAGAAATAATCTAAAAATATTTTAGAGATATTTTATTTATATGATACACCACAATTTCTTTTCTTTCATTTTTATAATTTAAAGAGTTACAAGAAATATAAATATTATTTTATAAATTTTATGAAAATAAATTATATGAATATATTTTTATGTTATTTTTCTAAAAATAATTATCTTATTTTTTATCAATGATATTATAAAAAAATTATTTGAATTTACTGTTAATATTAGTTATAATATTATAGTTCTTATTTTAAACATTGCTGTGTTTTATTATACTATTTATGGTACCAATTGATTCCAAGAAACATTGCATTTTCCCAAGTGATTCCCACGTCACTAAGCTAAAAATCACTTCACTAGTCACAATTTGCGACCGGGGAGAAACACGTCGGAAATACAATGGTGGGAACTTTTTCCCAAGTGAAAAACACGTCACAAAGTTGTGACATACAAACCACGTCGCAAATGAGAAAAAAAGAGAAAAAGTTCCCACGTGAAAACCAAGTCACTAATTAGTGACGTGAAAATCACATGGGAACCTACTTTTACCTATTTTGTCTGCACGCTTTTCTGACACCATTTAATTATTTTCCTTCCCACGTCACTAATTTGTGGTCTTGTTTTCACGTGGGAACCCACACTCAATAAATATTTTTTCCCATGTGATTCTCACGTCACTAATTAGTGACATGGGATGCACTTCACTATAAAATTTAATAATAATAAAAAATAAATATTATTAAATGAAAACAGCTATAAAACTAAAATATATAATATATATTCATTATTTTTAAAAATATGTTTTTTTAAAATAATATATATTATGTTTACTAAAATATAATAACTATTCAATAACATAATAATATAATTGGTTTACTAAAAATAACACATTTAAAATATATATAATACATATATATTCATTATTTTTTAATAAAAATACTTTTTCAAAAAATAATACATTTAAAAATAGCACATTTTAAATATAATGCATATTCTTTATATTTTGTAAAAAATATCTTTTAATTTTTTCTATTTACAATATTGTTTACTAAAACTATTTTTAAAATATCTACTACTTTTTCTAACATAATAAATATTCTGTTTTTAAAAATTAAAAATATATTACATATTTAATTTGTTTCTAATAAATATTCTGTTTATATATATTATATTTTTAATTCGAAATATATATATTCTAAAAATATATATTCTACTACAAAATTATTTTTATTAACTCTATCAAAATATATATTTAATCTGCTAACTAAAATTAAAAATACATATTGTCTAACAAAATTATTTTTATTAACTCTATCAAAATACATATTCTCTAACAAATTTATTTTTATTAACTCTACAAAATTAAAAATACATATTTAACTCTATCAAAACTATTTTTATTAACTCTACAAAATTATTTTTATTAACTCTATCAAAATACATATTTTTATTAACTCTATCTAAAAATATATATTCTACTAAAAATATATATTCTACTACAAAATACATATTTAACAAAATAATATATCAACAACAACACAACAAAATAATATATCACCAAAATCTCAAAAATAAACAAATTGAAAATGCATAAATACCTTAATGTGCTAACTAGCTAGCTCTATCAAAGCTTCTTTGAACTTATTAAATTTTAGATCTGAAAAAGAAAATCAACAATTAGTAATAACATAAACATAAAATAAACGGTAAAACATTCACAAAAACAAGATACATACCGGTCAACTTAAATTTTTTGAGAAATTTTAGTTAGAAATGGAGTTGTGAGGGAGGCAGCAATGGTGAAGAAGAGAGAAATGGAGTTGTGAAGAAGAAACGAAGAAACAAATGAAGATGAAAAGGGATGTTGAAGGAAAATTTGTCTAATTAATATATAGGGAGATTTGCGACATGTTCAACACGTGGGAAGGTACCCACGTGGTTCCCAATAATGTGTGAAAGTTGCGACGTGATTCCCATGTGGGAAAGTTATTTATGGCTGTGGGTTGCGATGTGGGTTGCGACGTGATCCCCATGTGGGAAAGTTGTCACATTTAACTTGTGACCTGTTATTTACGTGGGAATAAAATGATATTTTTGAATTTTCAGTTCTCATGTGTTATACACGCCACAAATGAATTTTTTAAAAATTCAAACTTCCCTCTCTCTTAAAATTCCAATTTTTGATGGTAAATTTTAGGTCTCAATAATTTAATATTTAAATAAGTTAGTGACGTGGAAATCACTTGACAACATGTTTTTTTTCTCATGTGATTACCAAGTCACTAAATCACTAGGAAAAATGAAGTTTTTCTTGTAGAGCAAACTATAAATCAATTGACAAAATTTATAATTTTATATATGAGAAATTAAGAATATTATTAGTTGTCTTTAATTTATTTGTTTGACATGATATGAAAAATATAGAATAACAAATTATAATAAAAATATATATCAAAATTTATTTTTATAATTTTTATAATTACAAAAGAAATAAAAATGATAATCTATAAGGTTTATGAAAATAATATGTATCAAATATGTAAATGTTAAGGTAATATATATTTTTTGTATTTATCTATTGTTTGTATTTGTTGGAATTTGAACATGTAAACTCTAATATTATGTATTTTATGTATTTGTCAGGATTTGAACATGTGAACTCTAACATTATGTTTTTGTGTTTTTTGAGAAGTGAAGATTAAATTTAGAAGATATCACGTAAGAATACGGATGATGTGGTACAAATTATTTTAAAATGTCATCGTTAGAGTGTGCACTTTTGATTTCATATATTATAATACATAGGTAGATAATAGATTATAAAAAAGTTGAGCATACTATAAACTATATTTCCAATATGGGCAAAGTCAAAACTTTTATTGTTTATCTTTAGTTTACTTGTTCAACATAAAATAAATAATATAGAATTGAAAGAATCTCAAATTATCTTAGAGATATTTTATTTATATAATACATCAAAATTTATTTTCTTTTATTTTTATAATTTAAAAATAATTGCAGGAAAAAATAAATATTGTTTTATAAATTATACGAATAATAAATATTTGTAATTTATCTTTCTAAATATAATCATCTTATTTATTATTAATGGTATTATAAATTTTTTATATGATTTTATTGTTAATATCAGTTAAAATATTATAGTTTTTATTTTAGACATTACTACATCTATTTTTTTATTATACTTCCAATGACAATGACAAAAAAAAAAGTATGAACAAACTATAAATCAATTTTGGCAAACTCTACATATTTATAAGTTAGAAATCAAGAATACTGTTAGTTGTCTTTAATTTATTTGTTTGACATATGAAGAATATAGAATAGAAAACTATATTAAAATTATATTTAAAAATTTATTTTCTTAAATTTTTATAATTAAAAATAATAGCAAGAAAAACAAAAATAATATTCTTTAAGTTTTACGAAAATAATGTGTATTAAAATTAATAAACAATTTTTAAATTAATATATTTTTTGTACTTGTTGGGATTTGAACAGTGACTGTGTATTTTAAAAAGTGAAGATGGATATAATAAATGGATTAAACCAATCTTTTTTATTTAAGCTTTTTGACCAAAATTAAATAATTAAAAAATTTTCAAATATAACTCCAAAATTCAAGAAATAAATTAAAACTAATTTTTTTAAAGTTTCTTTTATTGTAGCATAGCTTCATTTAATTACTAGTCCAGTCTAGATACAACAGTTATTGTGAATAAAGCTAAAAGTTTCAATTTTACTAGTTATTCATTGAACATAAAAATATTTAAAAAATTTAATTGTGATACAACAATTATTCAATGAAAAGTGAAAATTTGTTTAAAATAAAAAATTAAAATTATAAATTTAGATCTTAAATATGTTGTATTAAAACATATAGTCTCTTTTGTTTTTGATATTGTCTCTAAAGATGTCACCAAAGAATGTGTTGATGTCTCTAAGCAATGTCTTCATTTTCATTCTTGTTTGTTGTTCTTATATGATTGAAAATGTTGCTTCTGCTGATTATGGAACAGCACTTACAAAAAGTTTATTGTTTTTTGAGGGTCAACGTTCAGGTGTGTTGCCTAAGAAACAAAGACTGAATTGGAGAGGAGATTCTGCACTTAAAGATGGTCAAGATGTTGGGGTAAGATTCATCAATAAATACACATATATTTTTTTGGTTTAATAGCCTAGCGATGAAATTTCATCTCTTAAAGGTGACTAAGTGAAAAGTTGCAGGTTCAAACCCGCACCTATGCAGATGAGTTATCTATGTATTGCTATCAACTAGACATCTGACTAATGGATATTATTTATGCAGATGAACCTGGTGGGAGGTTACTATGATGCTGGAGACAACTTGAAACTTGGATTTCCAATGGCATATACCATCACAATGTTATCATGGAGTGCAATAGAATTTAAGGACAAACTTGCAAGGAAGAAAGAGCTTAATAATGCATTATATGCCATAAAATGGGGAACAAATTATTTGATAAAAGCGCATCCACAACCAAATGTTCTGTATGGAGAGAATGGTGATCCTGATTCAGATCATGAATGTTGGGAAAGACCCGAGGATATGGGAACACCAAGGACTTCTTATAAGATTGATGAACAACATCCTGGTTCTGATCTTGCTGCTGAAACTGCTGCTGCTTTGGCTTCTGCTTCCATTGCTTTTCGATCTGTCGACTCAAAATATGCATTCACATTGCTTACTCATGCAAAACAAGTATGTTTTTCTTTTGTGTCATGTATCTCTTTTGTGAAAATTATTTACTTTTTATATGGCTGTTATTTACTATTTTCTTGCAGTTGTTTAATTTTGCAAACAGTCACCAAGGATTATACCAAAATAGCATCCCAACCGCAGGAAAAATATATTCCAGCAGTGGTTACAAGGTGAAATTATGTTTATTACAGACTATAGTACAATTTTTTTTTAAAAGAAGAAGAAACTAGGGCACATGATGAGATTTAGAATTTATTTTGTACAAACAGGATGAATTACTTTGGGCAGCAGCATGGCTTCACCGCGCCACAAACATGAAACAATACCTTGATTACATTGGAAATTCTGGTGACAATGGTGGTGTGAGATCAATGTTTAGTTGGGATGACAAGTATGTTGGTGCTCAAATTCTTATTGCAAAGGTAAACAATATCATTCAATATTACTCATCAATATTGCTACTTAAATATTCTAATATAATGGAACATATATGTATGCATGCAGCTTGTTTTACAGGGAAAAGTACCGTCTTCAGGAATTTGGGCTGAATACAAAGCAAATGCAGAACAATTCATATGTTCATGTGCACAAAAATCAAACCAAAACATACAGAAAACACCAGGAGGTTTATTATGGTTTTTACCATGGGCTAATAATCAATATGTTACTTCAGCTACATTTGCAATATCCACTTACTCTCAATATTTGTCTTCAAATAAAGCATCCCTCCAATGTAGTGGCGGTGCTGTTTCTCCTTCTGATCTCGCGTCTCTTGTTAAATCTCAAGTGGACTACATATTGGGTTCTAATCCACAAAAGCTGAGCTACATGGTGGGTTATGGTTCAAATTATCCACAACAAATTCATCATAGAGGAGCATCAATTGTGTCTGTGAAAAAAGATAGGTCACCAGTTGGATGCAAAGACGGGCTTGACAAATGGTTAAATAAAAATGCACCAAATCCTAATGTATTGGAAGGTGCTGTTGTGAGTCCAGATCAAAATGATGGTTTTACAGATAATAGGAATAATTATCAACTTGGAGAGCCAACTACTACTGCTGTTGCACCTTTAGTTGGTGTTCTTGCTTTTCTAGCTTAAATTATTTATTCCTTGCCATGCATAATCTTCATTTTTATAGCACAAAATAACAACTATGTAGTTCATCCAATAATAAAACTCATTCACTATAATTATCACAGGTAGAAAAATATCATAATTTTATTTTCTGTTATTTTACTTGTATGTGTGTAATTTTACATGAGATCTTTACTAGTTTTTCATTATAAAGAAAAGAATTCTAGTTCTAGTATAGCCAATTAAATGTGATTCACTTGCTCAAGTAGATACAATAAATCTATTCAATCTAGCAAGCTTTTCCAAGAGCCACCTATGGTGAATTTGTTGGGAAAAGACCTTCATAATTTTCCTTTTCCGTAACTTTAAATAGGCACCAGTGGAAACGTGAAATATGAGCTCAATGACACAATTATTTGGTTGCATCTTGAGAAACGTTAGTCTCTTCCTTGTTTATCTTTCTCTACATGATGTATAGGGAGCCTTCCTTTTTGCCACGAACAACTATCATGTTCCCTTTGCTAGGTTTCCATCTACTACTGCCGAACTGGTTCCCCAGATCATCTAACTTTTCGACCGAGATAAGGTTTAGATCCATTTCTGATACATGTCTTACTTCTTTCAACACGAGTTTATTGCCATTCTATGTGATCATAGTCATTTCACCAATACCAACAATCTTGCTAGTGACGAGGCTTCACCGTACCAAAATCTCCTATTTAGTATGATGAGAATAATTCTTCATGAGGTGTAACATGGAAAGATGCTCTGGTGTCAACTATCCAAGTGCAGTTATCAAATGCAACATTTAGATAATTATCATCTCCAATAAAAAAAAATGTTCTCGCCGTTCTGGGCTACTGCAATTGTTGTTCCATCTTACTTATTCTTTTTTGGATTTATCAAATCTGCATGAACTATTCTAGCCTGTTGATCTCTCTTCAAGAATATGGACTCAGGTCTTTTGTGGCCTCGTTTCCCATAATAATAACAACTTAGTCATTTCCGAGACTTAGATCTAGTTTGTGATATCCAATGACCCCCTTTTCACAATTCTTAGTCCTTTTTCTGTTATTAACAATATTGACTTCAAATTGGTTATAGAAGCCTTTTTTTTCCTCTATCTTAACTCTTCATTTAGCAAGGAATTTGTAACAGAATCCATGACAAGTTTTCTTCATGGAGCAGATTTATTAAAAGTGACGATTAGAGTGTCCCAACTCTCAGGTAGAGAACTTAGAAGTATAAGATTTTTCAATTCATCATTTATCTTCATGTCAGCTTTCGTCAGTTGATTCACAATACCTTCGAAGGTATTCAAATGCTCGGTCATTTTTTGGCCGCCTGAGTACTCCAATTTCACCGGTCGTCTAAAAAGGTGAGCTTTGTTTCCCGACGTATTCTTTTGAATCAAGGATTCAAGTTTAGTTCATAACTCAGACGCATTGGTATAAGTTGACACATGCTCGAATAAAATCATATCTATACTTTCTGATCATGGCAACTGCGTTCCAATTTTGGAGCTCCAACTCTTTTTCTTCCTTCCCCTCTGGCTTATCCTTTTGGGAGATTGACTCATGCAAATCTTTTCAATATGGGCAGTCTTCCATCATTGGCTTCTAATAGGTATAATTATCAGTAGTCAGCTTGAACATATCTCCATCATGATTGGTAGAACCCTCCATCTTGAGAACACAGAAAAGTAGTTCCTTCAACTAGGAGATCTTGTAAATATTGTCGTACACTAGAAAAATCATTGTAGTTTGTGAATAATGCAACTAAGAAATACCTAGAAAAGAGAGGTGGGTCAATATTGACACACTTAAATACTAAGTCTTTCCTTAGCCAGAACTTACCGAGACACACTTTGGAAATGCTACAATTTAATTCCATCAATAGTAGTTATTTTCTGATGTGAAATATCAAAAAATGTTGCAACCTCCCGAGCATACTAAACACTTTCTTATGAGTACAACACCGTAGTATTCCATAGCTCATACGGTGCTCTAATACCACTATTGGATAAAAACTTTCTTATAAGTACAACACCGTAGTATCCTATAGCTCAGATGGTGCTCTAATACCACTATTGAAAAAAAATACTTTCATAACTTGCTCCTCTATGAACTCAAAAAAGGAACTAGCGGAAGCGTAAAATATAAGCTCAATGACACAAAAAGAGCTTTTGCGTGGAAAACCTTTTTAATGTGAGAAAGGAAAAAACCATGGATCCCTTTGGCCTTTTAAACATCCAATATACTAATAAGAAGAATACAACAACCTCACAATTTCCCATTCCAATTTTCATAACCACACTCCAAACCACCATTCTACTCCTAACCTAGAGCATATTTAAATGATTTACTACAAACCTCACAAAAAAAGATCCTCATAATTCTATTTCATTTTCAGAATTCAATCTCACTCTTTGAATTTTGCTTTTTTTTTTCTCACTTCCAAAACCTCCATTAAATCTCTTTTCACTTGAGCTCTTTGATTCTCCACTGGAATCATTGAATTCTAGAGCTAAACCTTCATTCTTCATCCTTATTGTCTCCATTTTTCCATTCAATTTTCGTGCTAGTGTGGATCTGAACTTGGAAGTTGATTGAGAAGAGCTTATTTGGATCGGTTTAGCTTAATTTTGGTGGATCTTTACTTCTACAACAAGAAATCACTTGGATCTTGTAGAATCTCTGGGTTTCTTGCTTGGATCTACTCATTTCAATTGAATCAACACTCACCAAAGAAAATCTCTGCTTTGTAGGTTGGAAATTCTAGATCCGATTCTGTTTTTGAGCTTATTTGCATAATCACCATGTAGATTTTCATACTTTGTTTGATTTGGTTGATTTTGATCTATGTGAACTGTGATTTCCATGTTTGAATGTGTTTACTGTTGATTGGATCACTGATTTCTGGTTTAAAATTCGTGCATAATTGATTACATGATCATTTGGATGATTGCACATTGGATTAATTGTTATAAGTGCTTTTGAGCTGCCGTTTTTCTGCTTCTGGTACAGTGTTAATCGATTAACCAGTGCGAATTCTCAAAAATCTTTAATGGTTAATCGGTTAACCAATAGTGTTAACCGATTAACACTGAACCAGAATGCCACTTTTGGTTGTTTTCAAGCATGTTTTGGTTGCTTCTCACTTTGAATCTTCATGGATCAATATGATGCATTTGAGTAAGCTGTTTTGGATATGTGTTGATGTTCTTGATTGTTTAATCTTGATTATTCGACACGCGTGGTTCGATTTCTATTTAAATGCATACTTTTGTGGATGTTGTTCAAGTGATGATCATTTGCTTGAGTTTGAAGGTTTGCTTGGTTGAGATGTGTTTGTGGTGGCTGCTGCCCCACACTTTTTTCCTCCCACTTTTCTTTGATGATTGATGGTAATGATCGTAGGAGTTTACTTCTTCCATTTCATCTCATCCTTGCATCTTTGTGTTTGTATATCGTGTTTGCATTTCATTTCTTCCTTTTTGTGATTGAATTATCTAGTGGTTACTTGGTCTTTTGCCATGATCCCTTAGGATTCCTAGTCCCTCGGGAGTAGGAGAGACATTAGGTGTTCAATCCAAGAATGCTAACATTAGGATAGTTTCTTCCCCCTTGATCCCAACTTTAGGAGCATTGTGCATGATAACTTTAGGGTTCAGTTTCCCCTTAGTTGTATCTTCTCTTCTCATCTCCTAAACATCTCAAAACACTTAATAAAGGATAATAAGTGTTGTACGCTACGAGCCTTAGGTACTTGAGGAATGATAGTTGGGGGGCCTCCTCTCACATGTCTAGAGTGTTTAGCGTATGCCCTTTGGGCGATATGCGACACATTCGCTCTCAAGTCATAGTCTTTAGTGCAACATGAATTACAAACTTAATTCAATTCAGTTCTTCATAAAAAAACATAAAACAAAACATCAAACCTTTTTATCCTTAGGGATTAATTGAAAATCATTTTCAGAAAGAGTGTGTTAAATCTTGGTTCTACCTGTAATGCCTAAGTCTCCAATGGTTGAGCAACAATACACCTAATTGCTAGAACGAAGGTTTAACCCTACTCAGTTAAAACACTTGAACCAGTTTGTGGTCGCGTTAGCCCAAACTATGTTTGCTCTGATTTCTTGTACCAGACGAGGATACGTAGGCACAAGACGACGATGTCTTGACGAGCAACCTTCCCCACCTTCACCCATAGTTTTCCGAACTACGTTGACTCTGACTTTCCCATTGCGTCGATGCTCTATCGAGTCTCTTTTCTTTCCTTGTGTCCTTGTGAGCCAACCCTATAGATTAACACCCTTTTAGATAGACAACAAGTGTGGATCCCGTTGAGTACAACGGACGTGAGGGATGCTCATACCTTCCCCTTGCGTAACCGACTCTCGAACCCAAGATTTGGTTGCAATGACCTGTCTTTTCCCTTTTCGTAGGTTTTTTCTGATCGTTTCCTTTCCCTCTCTTTGGGATAAATAACAAACGGTGGCGAATCTTCTGTCTTGGTCGGCCCCTCTTCGCAGCGATACGACAATTATTTGTTGATTCTTATTGTTCTTCTCATTTGGTTGTGTTTCGTATTCTTGATCATGACCTTATTTATAGGAGAAACAAGTCAAATGTGCCTTACATGCTTGAAGACACTTGTCCTTTTCATTCTATGGAAAGCACCAACTGTCCCTTGCAAAGGATGTCTCATAAGATGTGTTACTCATGCACTACACCATGTGTACACTATACACATTGCTACTTGTCATCACATGCAACCTTCTATATTTTCAAATTTATGTTGGTCATTTGACAATGGCTGGACCCCACAGGATTAAGTATTACTTATGGGAGAAATTGAAGTAAGAAGAGAAAATTGTGTTCAATAACAAAAAATTTAAAGAGGAAAGAATATTATCATGACAAGAAATAAAAGGATTATGCAATATTAAGCATGAGAACATGAATGGATTCAGAGAGTTTATAGACAACATGGGGATCATTTATAGTCTGATGGAAAATAAA